TCTCTCTGTTCACACTGAGCTGAGGGTGCTCGTTGGCCTCTCCATGTTCACAAGGAGAGGAGGATGCCCGCTGTTCTCTCTGTATTCTGTCACTGAGCAGTAGGTACCCCTGCTGGCATGTTTCATGTGCATACAGCCTCCTGCTCCCCTGGGCGTGCCAATCTCTGGCTTTCTGTTCCTGGCCTGGAAGACGGCTCACAGAAGTGCTACCTACTCTACATGTTGTCACAAGTCATGGGACACGCCGGGAGGAACGAGGCACTCTTCTGCTCTGCCAGCAGCCAGGAAATAAGAAGGTCCCAGAGTGTGATCAAACAGCCTTGCATGCATGGACACACTAGTATAGACATAATCTATCTACAGAGCCTTTGTACACTGTTGAACAACTTAGCACTTCCCATGCACCTGAGATGCTATTTAAGCAACAATTATAAATTCCCGGAGATGCTTCGCAGACTTGTGCTTTGGGTTGCATAAGCCCAGTGTCAGGGGAGGTCCAGAGCCCTGCCTCCTGTCTCAGGGCCAGCTCTTCCTTGCTGAATTTGACTGGTACAGGGGCCAGGCTGTGCATACTTTCCCGAGACATTGCTGGCTACTTGTCACTGAGATGAGGTACCAATGTGCCACAGGTGCTCACTCCTCATGCCAAGAGCCTGCTAGGAGGATCTACGGGCTCAAGTGGTTCTGCTAATTCCTGGCCTGTCCTCCCTCTGGCCACTCTCTGCCAAGAGTGTTGACTTAATTCTGTTGGTTCCTGCTCAAAAGTTTCCTGGTATGAAGGAGCCTCTCTAGGAGAAATTGCTCCTGAACACCCCTGAGAACTGCAATTCCCACACAACCTCTCTGTGGATTTCCTTTCCAGAAAACAAGGAGGCTGTGGTGGTTCCTGTTCTCCAGGGACAAGAACAGAAGATAGAGCCTCTCAGAGTCAGTGTGGGCAACAGGCCACAAATGGCAAAGGAGTGAGGATGGGCTCCCTTGCTCTCCAAACACTGCTCTCAGAGAGCTCAGTCAGGCTGCTCACTCTTCAAAAGCATCCTACACAGCCTGGGCAGACATGTCTACACACTCATGCACACACACACACAATGGTAGGGTGGTACTGGGTCTGTTAGCAGAGGACTCACCTTCCCAGACAGGGTTTCTCTGTCAGCTGTCTCCTCATTATCAAGCCCGCGTCACCTCAGGGGACACTCATGTGGTGGGTTTTACTAAGGAGTGTATTTTACTTGCCTGTGCTGTGCTTCTGGACAAAAGCTATTACAAATACTTTAATGCTGCTGTTACAAAATAAATAACCGTATTAAAAAAAAAATCCCAGAGAAGCTAACCTTTTGGGTCATAAAATCTTCTCAACAAATGCAGGGCTCTGAGTTCAGAGAAGAGCTTAGCTGACCTCATAGCACATGCACGGGAGCAGCCGTGGTGCAAGCGGCTCCTACAGAGAGCGATGCACGCAACAACATCAAGGTGCCCATTACACTGGCTCCCTTCTTGGGAACTTTATGTAACTTAAGTAAGTCCTACCCGCATCTCAGAACATTTGGGTGTCACTTACATAACTGCACCTTCGCCACAGACACTCACACACCCCGAACACGGTACGCACATGCAACATGTGCAATGCACACACTGTATACAGACATGTTACACAAATGCATGTTTTGGGGGCTGTCTGCTCCTCATCCTCTGAGAATCACGTTCATCCCCTTGTCTGAAATCACCGAGTGAGGAGACCAGCTGCACTCTTCCTCCCTGTCTGTGGCACCGAGCTGGAAGTCCACAGGCAGGTAATGTATGGTGAAGGGGCAGCACTGAGATGGGACTCATGCCTTACACTTCAAGTCTGAACCTCTACTGGGGGAGACTAAAGAAGAGTGGAGAGGGTGAGGCCCAGCAAAGCACCCTGACAGCCCTGGAGGAGTGGAGTGGTGCTGCCTGGCACGGGGACAGCAGTCAGGAGCACTGTGGGTGCTGGGAGAGCAGTGACAGCCTAAGGCAGCTGCACGGGAGCACCAGTGCTGCTCAGAGGTGCTGTCCTTGTGCAGCCTCCCTCGGGCAGAAGCTCAGAGCAGAAAGTGAGGCTACCTTGGAGGAGACGATCCTGTTGTCGGGGTATCTCTGTGGAATGTAGGCCTCTGCCCCCGGAGGGGGCTCCTTGTGTCCCACGTAGATGGTCCGACTGTCCACCCAGTTCTCTTCTCCTGCACACTGTGGGGAGAAGAGCACCGTCAGCACGGGCAGGGAGCCTGGAGTGCAAACCCTCCCCACAGTGCTGCCACACTGAAACAGAGACCATCCTGATGGCATGGAGGCCACATGGGGCTCCCGGGTTCCCTACCACAGCCGGGACATGGCTGGCTTAGCCCTACAGGTGAGGGACTTTGGTTCTATCCAAATCCCCAGGCAGACACCGACACAGTGAGTGGCTATCTGCTCAGGGAGAGGCCCAAAGCACTCTCACACTGGGCATCGACAGGACAGGAGTCGCATGAGGCAGGGGGATTGTGCTTTTCAAATAAGTGGTCAGCTGCCAGGCACAGAACACTGCATCACCTTCCTGGGTGGCCTCTGCTGCTGGGGAAACTCCCAGTTCACAGCCAGTGAAGGTACTCCTACCAGCCTGGCTCCTGTGTTCTGTTCAGCCACATCCTTCCCGGCTCACTCTCCAGTCTTTTTATACATCAGCTACCTGTTTGCTGAGGCCATGAAGCCCTTCCCATTTGTCCCAGTATACTATGCTGCAAGATGCATAAATGCGTATATTCTGCAATCGTGTTTCGTTTTGTCTCTGTGCATGCTCCCACCTGTGCTTTCTTCCTCAAAAGGGCCAGCTTTATTTGTGCAGAAGTCTGAATAAACAGTTCCAACTGCAGCTACATCCCGGGAGCCACTGCCACAGGAACCAACTTCCCAGCCCTGGGGTCAGATACAACATGGCCACTTCCAGAGAGTGACTGTCTCAGCCGAGTGAGCATTCCCTCATCAGGATCCCAGGATCTGGCTCCTCAAAGGGAGCTTCCAACTAAACCAAACCCACTGCTCCGAACCCTCTAATGGCTGCCCAGGAGGTACTACTGTAATTAGAGCAAAAGCCCAGCAGCCCCTCCCAGTAAGAGATGACTTCATGTGCCTCCTCTCTAGGAGCCTCTCGTTTTGTGGGAAAGTTGATGAGTATAGGGGAGGGGGACCAAAGACTCATTAAGAGCCACACATAAGACCTCTGCCAGGAAGGCTGGGACTCCTCACTGCTAGGGGTCAGGTCTCAGCACTGAGGAGAGTGTTGTAACACAGGGGTAAGAGAAGAAGGCACAAATACTTTTCAGTGCCTGGTAACATTCCCAGAAACCATCGCACTAAGCTTTAGGAATAGCCATGAGTCCCCACTGAGACTCTGAAGGCTGCAGTCACACCACAGCCCCAGGGGTATCCACTTAGAGGGGAACAACACCTTCCTCTCTACCCTTCAGGAGGAGAGATGTTTGGGGTGAAAACACCTCCAAGTCTATAAAACAGGAGCCCTGGAGAAAATCACTGTGACCACACAGTGCAGCTCCTGGGGTACCCCGGCTCCTTCAGGCCCCTCCGTGATGCTCTTCTCACATCTCGGATCACACGCTTCCTGAAAAGGTCTCATCCTCATGCCCATCAGTGCAGCTGTGGCAGACGCACTAGGCTTAGTGGCTAGGGATGCCTCTGAGCTGAGCTGTGGGGAGCCCTCCAGGGAAGGGTTAACCACAGGGCAGCGAGGGCCTGGCAGAGACACTGAAGGTCAGGATCTGTTCTCAGTGTGCTAACACAGGCAGTTAAATATTAATTCCTGCTCTTCCTGACCAAAGCCAGGAGCCAGAGCAGCTCCTATGAATCATTTGACTGCCTCGGTTTTTAACATAAAATCCGCAAGCACTTGTCTCCAATAGACGCCAACTCAGGCGGACCACCAGAGGCGCGGACCACAGCAAGGGTTTCAGGTTAGCAAGAAGACCTTCAGGGTGGAAGAAGGCTCTTAGGGTTCGGCCCAACAAGAACAAACAGGCACTTAGTAGCAGCAAAAGAGTCTAGACCAGCCACAGGACCTTGTTCGCATGACTAATTAATAAAGTACTAAAAAGAACAGATCAATAACCCTGAGGACAGTTAGACAGACAGCACTTCATGATAAGGCAAGGATCCAGGCTCTGTCCTGAGATCACAGGAGCAGAGGTGACAAGTCAGCAGGAAGACCCTCCAGCACATCACCGCAGAACCAGGAATAGGCGGGTCTAAGACCTCCTACTCCAAAAACCCTGGAGAGGAAGAAGCAGGCTGTGGGGGCAGTGCCTGCACCCACAAAGACCAGTCAGCACTTCAGGGGCTCAGCAAAGGACCACCAGAGTTATATCCTAGGAAGACAAAGGCTTCACAAGCAGAACAGCTTGCAGCTAGCCTGAAGAATGCATCTTCTTAAACGTGGGGACCATGCAGGTGTGTGTCACTGAGTCAACCCCAACCGCCTTTGCCAAGTGCAGCCAAGAGGCAATGGCCTGGTGTCCTGCCCAGAGACCTGCCTACTGTCACTGTCCCTAAGGACAGCCTGCAATTCCACTCAGATTATAGGACACAAATATAAAACAACTCAAACACAGAACTCTAAAACATAGAAATAACTCGAATTTAACATTTTTGCCATATTGGTGTCAGATGGATTTTTAAGAAAACAAAATTAAAATACAGATTTTTTTTTCAAATAGCCATTTGCACCTCTTCACTGTAGGTAATAGATGAGCAAACAGGAGACTACGGTGACCTAACACACCTAAGGGGCACCGAGTTTTACTCACAAACACACTGTGCCCAGAACGGTAAACGGCCTAATCTCAATAATGACACTCATGTTGGAAGCATGGGGAGGGTCCAATTGGTACAAGAAATGTTCCAGAATACACTAAAGACAAAGTCACTCTAGCAAGAAGACTCATCATCCTGCCACTAATCAAAAAACTGAAAAGAAATTGTAGAGGTACAATTTGTCATCCCCCTATCAGGTGCAATTACAGCACTTCATCGTGTCTCTGTGTCCCCGTATGATGGAACCCTGTGATTTTAGCAAGACCCAGCCCACACTACATCACTTTCAAAGACCCTGGTATCTCTCCCCAGCTGACTATGGACTGGCTACACACCCTGGTCCTCCCCCCTGAGCTGCAGTGCTCTCCACCCCTGGTTCTCCCCCCTGAGCTGAGCTGCATTGATCTCCACCCCTGATCCTCCCCCCGTGAGCTGCGGAGCGCTCTACACCCCTGGTCCTCCCCCCTGAGCTGCAGTGCTCTCTACCCCTGGTTCTCTCCCCCTGAGCTACAGTGATCTCCACCCCTGGTGTACCCCCAGCTGACTATGGACTGGCTACACATCTCTGTCACACAGTCACACTAAAGTCCAATGGCAAAGCAGCTGGAGGGTGACTACTGTACTCTGCAGGTCTTCCTAGAGGGGCCTACGGTCTGGGCAGGTGTGGAGCTGTCTGCTGACTGCCCTTTATGGGACAGCTCATCCACTGGTGACTCTGAGTCCCCACACAGACCCTGGGAAGTTTTTCTAGCAGGGCTGGTGGAGACTGGAGACAGCGGGTTTCCATCAGGCTGAGCAGGCTCCCTCTGCTTGAAGAAAGAAGCAAACAGAGCTCTAAACTGCATGGTGAGAACATCCCAATGCTGAATCCCTACAGAAAAGGAATTTAGAAAGCCAGTTTCCCATCCATCTTCGGCCTGCTGTGGGGGAACACGAGCAGCTCTGACCACTCTCTTCTACCGGCCTCAAGCCCAAGGGCACTCAGAACTTGAGTAGTCTCAGCACCTGAGGGGTTCACTCAAGCAGGGCTGGAGAGGGTCCCATGACCCCTCATCTGCAGGATGCGATGCTCTGGGGCACAGGGTGGGTGCTTTACACACAAGCCTTCCGACACCCTTTGCCAGAGCTATCCCGGAAGTTTCTTCTGGGAGGGAAGGTTCAGGCTGGAGGCTGTCCTCCACTCCCTCCCGGTCAGGGATCTGTAGGCAGACATTGTGGACCACAACGGGCAGTTCTCCAGGGACAGTGATGACCTTAGCACCACACAGGCCTCTGCTGTGCACACATCAGATTCACACCTTCCCTCAACCAAGGACAAGCGTGTCCGTGTGTACTTGTGAACACAGTCTGTGGATTATGTCATCTCCATCTCTCAAGATAAACAGCATCTCAAAGCATCTCTCAGGGGAGACGATTCACCACTTCTGAGCCAAGAGACACGTGGGCTTCAGTATGAAGAATCTGCCTTCTAGTTTTCAGATTGACGAGAGAACCAGTCATCAGCAGTTAGACAAAGCAAAGGGGGAATCAGGTCCTCAGTCAAGTGAAACTCACTTATGGAGGTTCCACTGAAGACAGCACTGGAACTGCCCGCGCCTGTTCACTGTATAAAGCATCTCCTGGAAGTCTCGGACCCTCTGCAATTCCTGGCTGGTTCTGCCCTGTCCAGAGATAGTGAAGATTCTGGACCCTCTGGAAAGATGAACAGGGAGATGCCCGGCAAGCAGGACCACTATTAGCCCAGTTTTCCCATTGCACGCCTCCACACAACTTCAGTGGCCTGCACGCCAGAATTTCAAGGCCAATGTATCCAATTTTAAATGGAAAGTGGTTTCTGCTTACTCTGAATCTGCCAACTACCCCCACTCACCCCACAACCCCCTGCCTCCCGAGACTCCTGTACCAGGGGAAACAACGAGAGTTCTGCTGATCACTGGACCTCACCCAGGACAGAAGAGCTATCTGGCAAGAAGGGTGAGTGACCAGACCCCAGGGTAAAGGTCACCGGGCATGACAGATCAGCCCTCACTTATGACCCACACAGGGCAGAGAGGAGAACAGAGCTCACTCCTTGCAGGGCATGGCTGCACCTACATGGGTCATGCAGGCAGAATGGACCTGTGGCCATCACTGTCTAAGTGGACCATACCCTGAGGGAGATGAGCAGCTAACACACAATGGCAGACCGAGACCCCATCCTTGCAGGCTGCAGGACAGCAACTACACAGTGTCTCTGTAGCTCCAAGAGAGAACTAGGATGTTCTGGTCATGTGCTGGACCCCAGAACTCAGGCGGGCGAGGCCGGCCACTGAGGGCCAACAGGCACTTGGAAGAGGCACCAGAGTTGGGGACCACGTGGTTCTACTTACAAGAAGCAGCAGGAA